TGATTGTTTTATCTGGGTGTGTTAAAAGTCCTCAATGTACAGTTAATTCTTCATTTTTGTTATTAAAAGATCTAGGAGATCTGTAATGTTAAATCCTGTGACTTTTATGTTCACGTTGACTGATGCAGTTCAGGGAAAGCCCTGCTATGGTGGTTCCATGTGGACTCGTGGAGCTTGCCCTTGTCTGGGCTATGTGTGGGCTAGCAAGGTGCTGGAGCCCCATAGATGTGATACAGACAGCCAAGCTGACTCTGCGGAGGTGTAGTGAAGACTCCACTAGTGCTGGGAAAGTGTGTCTGCCATACTGGGAGAGAGTATAGTCACTCCCGTGGACCTTGATCTGAGTTAATACTCTGCACCAGAGTTGATCCCCTAGTAGAGGCATTGGTTAATCCATAAATCCAGGTAATCTGCCCATGAGTTTCCTGTGGTGTGTGTGTGTTTGTTTTTTTTCCTTTTTCCCCCTTCTTCTCCCCCATCCCCCCATGCCTTTGAGCTAACAAGTATTGCTCATTGAACCCTGTTTTACAAGTTAGGCTGCTGGTCCATGGCTGTCCACCTGGATCACATTGCGGGCTGCCACTGTCCTGCTTCCCATCCTTACGCACCCTTCCTGATACATTGTCCTGTCCCCTTCCTTGCACTGTCTTCAATGCTTGTTGGGCCTTTGTATGCTAAGCTGTCAGAAAAATAACCCATTAAAAAGGTAGCTAGTGAAAACATCTCAGTGAAGAGTTTGGTATGTAAATGGAAGGCACTGGGCAGTGGTTAGGTAAACTGCAGCTCAATAGCAGCAGAAGTCATCAATTGCAATTTTGTGAGAATATGTAAACACCTTCAACTTAAATCACTTAACTGGACAGCTACACGTTTTTGTGAATTTGGGACTAATGATTTGCATGGATTTAGACAAGAGGTCTCCTGGAGCAGGAAGTTCTTTAGCTCTCAGGTGTTCCCTCATCTGAGGGAAGGTCTTGCTTCTCTTGTCTAATGCAATGCTACACAGGAGATCTCTTCAATCAGTGAACTGTGGACCACATCCAGGAATGAGCTTGAAAGATCCAGCAGAACGATTATAAACATAATGATTTTATTTGTGTCTGTATTAGAAACTGATTTGGCAAAATAAGAATAGAGAATGAGTAGTTCTGAGGAGATAGTGCTGAGGCCCCTACATCTCCAAAGTAGTTTGCATTTATTTCAGATTATATAGCCAACCAAACTGAATGTGTTTGGTTGGAACCTGCCTGAAGGACAAGTCATTGTTTCGAACCCTTGTGTCCTCCCTAGATGTTGGAACACATTTGACAAGTACCTGGAATAAAACTTTGGGTTTAACTTGGCAGCAAAAGAACTTGGTTTGTGTTCACCAAAACTGCTGCAAACTGTCCCAGTGCCTGATAAGCTGGACCAGTCATGGGACTGGCTTCAAAGCTATGCTGTACTGAAACCTGAATGTGCGCACAGGTTTTATAAACAGCTGAGCTGTTGTAGGTGGAGAGTTTATTGATAAAATTACAGATCTGCTACCGAGGAAGGCTGGTCAGTCTTTCCTTACCCCCATTCTCTCAAAGTGATTCTGTTGAAAAACAAGGCCAGAAAAATGTACTTAAACTGTCTTGGGTTGTTTTGATGAAACTTAAACTAGGCTGGATCTGTGTGTGCTGCTGGTTATACTGGAAAAAAGGTGAACTTGAGTGGGGGTACCAGGGCAAGCAGCTGGAAGTAATCATATTTTAAGTTGGAAAAGTGTATCTGATTATGTCCTCATTTGCACAGCAACCTGCTCTGTTCCTTTCAGATGTGACTTAGGAAAGCATGCTTCAATTCTTTTGTTACCAGAATTGTACATGGAGTAAAAAGGGAATACTGTATTTTGGATAAGAAATTCAAGGAGACATCTTTTCAAGAAGTTCTGATATACGAAGTTTGTTGTGTCTTTCAGGGGAGAACAGAGAGAATGTAAAGGAGGAATGTATGAGCTTATTGGGCAGTAGGTGCGTGAGACACAGGGTTGTGAAGGGCTCCTTGATGGGGTCCAGGAGCAGCACTGCAACAGTAACCACTACTGTCTTAGCCTTCCAGTTTGCATTGTATCTAGATGCCATCTGGGAATGCCCTTACTTCATCTCTTATTCTAGCTAATCAGCATGTCTACAAAAATATAATTTTCTATATGAGAAAGGGAGCTTGGTGTAATATGTAGAAGCATATTGCTTCTACAGACGTAAGATGATTAGCACCCCAAGAAATAAGTCTTAAAATTAATAATAATAAGAAAAAAGATTTTGAAGGAAAGGATTTTTTTTTTGATTTTTGTTAAATTTGTTGTTTGCTTTACTTGCATTCAGCCTTTTTTTTTTTTTTTTTTTTTAAACAGATGTAAACTTAACATCTCTTCCAGCTCCCTGGCTCTGGTGAAGACAGAATTGGCTCTGTTAGTTCCAGCTTTGAAGTTTGCTCTTTTTCAAAACTAACCTTTGCTTCCATTTTCAGTTGTGCTAATTGGTATTTTTAAGAAAACTTTGAAGTTTATATATCCTCAAAGACACATCGGTTGATTTTTATTGAAGGCAAATAATTCTGTTGTCTTGCCTTTGTCTTGGTTTCTTCTGGGATTAGGAGGAAGGAAGGAAGAATTGTGTTTTAAGTGAATGTAGTCTGCAAATGTTTCTTTAAAACAGTACAAGAAGCTCTCCAGATAATTTCTATTGCATTCCACAGAGAAATGCTTTTAAGGGAGCACTTAAAAAGCGATGATTACAGGAAATTACATGCTTGTTTCAGTGTCTTGACAAATATGAACATACTCCATGGAAGCATATTGCTTCTACAGACATAAGATGATTAGCACCACAAGAAATAAGTCTTAATTAAAATTAGTAATAATAATAAGAAAAAAGATTTTGAAGGAAAGGATTTTTTTGTTTGTTTTTGTTAAATTTGTCATTTGCTTTACTTGCATTCAGTGTTTTTTGTTTTTGTTTTTTTTCCCTGCCCCAGTAGATGCCTGAGAATATGGAAAGTGTGGTTAGAAGCAGCATAACTTGCCCTTGAGAGCTGGCACTGTTTCTATCCCATTCCTTTGACGTTATGCATTTAGTGTAGTTTTTTTTATTGACCAGGATATAGAATAGCATATTAGGGAAGAATAAAAAAGCCACATGTCACGCTTACCATCCCAGATGAGAATTTGGCCATTTTTTTAGAGCACTTTATGTAGGCTACAGCTTATTAAAAAAAGCTATTTTAGGCGCTGTTACATTTTTAAGTACTATGAGTTGTTTTGTCTTTAAACCAGGCTGCCCTAGTTACTGAGTTGGGCTGCTTGAATATAGTAGGAAAAGAATGACTGTGATTTTGAAAGTGTTTAAAAATACCCTAAATACTTATGTATGAAACATACATATGTTTCAGTATGAAACATACATACGCAGTATGAAACTTTGTGGGAAATCTGAAGTGTCGAGACAGGATGGGCCTATTAGCAAGTGTTTTAATAAGAAACGAGGAGTCTTCCGCCTCCAGTGATGTAAATTTTCAACTGGAAAGCCATGAGATTTGATGTTAAAACCTCTTACTTTTTCGGTACTGCATATCCTCCTATCTGTATGTTGTTTAAGGCCATGGGGAAGAAGTTCCATAACTGGGGAATTAAAGATACTTCACGACTCTGAAAATCTTCATCATTTTATGAATCTTACTGGAGGCAGAATAAAGATGAAACAGTTGAAGAATGACTTAGCATGTGAATTACCATTCAGTATGAATGATGAGTAGACTGTAGACTTCTAGGCAGGAAGTCGAAGACTTTTAAGTGTATATGTAGCTAAGGGGAGATTGGAGAGAGCTATGTGTTACTTCAGTATCTACAAGAGAGTCAGCTGTGCTCTCGGATGCCAATGCATTATAGTTTCCTTGCAACACAAATTTAAAATGAAAGATGCAGTCCCCTTCCCCTCCAACAGTGGGTGTTGCACTGATCCTCAGCCAGGGTTAAAGTTCTAATCTGTTTTCGGGTTGTAGTCCTCAAACATACACAAACAGTAAAATCCATGTTAATTTAAGGAGAAGCTTCTGAGTAAATTTCTTACTGAAACAGAACCAAAAGCATAGTGACTGTGTCTGAAACATGTACTTGAGTTTGAGAATAAAGTGAGAGAACTATTGATATCCCAGTGCTTGTTCCCGTCTGGCTTCATGGGGAGGTACCTTCAGATTTTTAAGAAGCTTTATTTTTATAGCACATAAATGCTTTAGACAACTCTTTGAGTAATATGACTGCCACATTCCTTAAATCTGGCCAAGCTGAAAGCTGCCCGGTCAATTTTGGCTTGAGTATTATATTGGACAGCCAAATAAAACTTTGCTCTTTAATCTAATTTTCAGCCCTATTCTGGGATTCAGGATCTGCCTTACTTTTGAGAACAGTATTTTAAAATAAATTAGTATCTCTTAACAGCCTGATACTCTCTTCTGCCACCCTCCTCGGTGTGCTAAGCATTCAATGTATTTTTTTGAAATTCTGTCTTTAAATTTTCTTGCTCTGCTTTCAAATACTTCAGGTTATATCATGTTTTAAAACTTTGTACGTGCTGTCTTTTTGGCTTGTACTAACTGTAATGTGACAAACTGTAGTGGGTCTTTGTTTTGGACTTGTAAATACCGTTGTAGTACAGATTAATACTGCTCCACTGCCTGCTAGTTTTCATATCCAGGCAGAGAGGGCTAGTGTATTTTTTGGTCTTAAATCTTGTGATGATTTCAGGAAGAAGCTATGTGCAGAAGACCTCATACACTGTGACCTCTGAGTGGAAGATCTGAGTTAATCAGATCCTCCGAAGTAGCTACGCTGGCCCTGGAGCTGTTCCTTTCACCTCATCGCCTTTGCAAATTGCTGTACTCTTTTGCAAAACAATAAGGATGAAGACTTGTGCGCTGCTTTCTGCAGTTGTTGTAGGAGACAGCATACAGCAGTTAAACGTCTCTGTTGGAAAAACATGAATGAGGAAGAAGCAAAAGGCTCAAGAGTTGTTTGTGGTCTAGAAGAGTGAGTCCAGACTGTCTCTGCTTGTTTCAGGATCCTACTTTGCCTTTCTGTTAGGAGTTAGGATTTTTCTTGGCAGAGTAGCTGCTTAGATGGATATGCCCTCCTTAGGACAGCCCCTTCTGTCAAACACCTGGCATGTTTGCACCAGTTCATCCCCAGTTCCTGACTGCATGACCATCCCTTCTGCATGTCTTCTCCTGCTGATTGGCCAGCTCTACCGTAACTGTAGAGAGCGAAGTTATGGAGCCACTGCTGCTGTAAAGCAGTTTCAGGACCTCTCTAATGTCTGAATATGGCTTAACAAAGCCTTTTTTT